TGTTTTGGAGGAGCTACAGGTAAAAAGTAGTTTAAATAATTTCAAACAAAATGTCCTCGGGAAAATAAATGAAACCCGAAACCAAATTTTAAATTCCATGTCTGGTCAAACTTACAGACTTAACCTTAAGCACATATTAAGTACAAGTTTACCGTCCACTAACGAGATGAGTCACGATGAGCGCGCGCTCTTCGAATTGCTGCAGGACGATCTAGTGGACGCGTTCGTCAATGTTCGTTGTGCGAGCGGAAACGAACAACTCAGGAACAAATACAAGAAAGACCTCACTGAGAAAGTCACGAAGTTTTGTAACGATTATTTGAGTAAGTTCCCAGCTTCACCGATTGGTAGCGACAAGTTGAATGAGGATTTGTACAATGCATTAAAGTCGGTCGCGTTACCTGAAGCAGGCGCGCTGAAAAACGAAGCAGAACAAACAGTTATCAAAGAGAAGTTAAAGGAGTTGATCTCGGAACTACCCCTCGAACAGCAAACACCTGAACGTCAGTTACGGACAAACAAAATTATTAACATTTTGGCCAAAAATCTACACGATATTGAAGGCAACAAACCTCAGCTCACAGATACAGAAACTGAACAAATTACAAAATTAGAAGTTATGAAATGGCTAAAGAAACTGCCGATGAAACCTGATCGAGACAAAGACATAGAGGATTTCACAAACAGGCTGATCGATAAACTGAAATCGAACAAACCCTCCCGGAGTTCGGGTCCAGCAGCTGAACTGTCCGCAGATGACGAGTGGACAGACGTATCTAGTTCGGCCAGACAGGACTCCTCTACGCAAACTTCTCGAGCGCTGAGACCAGCCGCAACAGCTAGCACATCTGTACAACTTCCCAATACACTTACGCAAGAAGATCAAGCTCATCTCAGTAGAATAAGAGAAAGAAGTAAACATTTGAAGTCTTTACACCTCAAAGACGCTGTAGTCAGCGCTGGGGCTCCTGAGGAGGAAAGTCAGGCTAGTGTAGTGCCAAAGAATACTCAGCGAGTTGAGAATGAAGCACAACCTTCAACTGAAAATGAAGATAAACAAAATTCTAAGACGATGGATGAGCAATCCCTCACCGGGCGAGATTCCCAAATCTCCCAAGATTCCAAACACCTTATAGATCAGATCACGGAGGTTCCTCATATCGCCGGGAACGGTTACGGGGAATCCGTGCACAAGGATGCTTCTTCTGTGGGAAGATCTCAAGATAATGAAGGTACGAATGATTCTAAGATTAATAAGCCAAAATGTATAAACTGCGGTCAATATCAGAGAGCGTTTGAGATAGAAAATCGGTGTCACCGACCGAGTTACAACGAAGATAATGGAAGACGGGGTTGTGGTTTAGCGCCTGGCGTCAGGAGACGGGAATGGCTACAGGGCACGGAGGGTTCCTGTGAGAGTGGCAGGCGTCGGGTCCTGCCTTCAGCTGAGGTAAGCGGCCGGGGCTGGGAGGCTCAGCACTCGCTGAGGAGATGTCCCAAGTGCTGCGGAACGCGCTGCCCTCATCCTGCTTACTTGTACTTCAGATGATTGTTGTTGCTGTCTTGTAATAAATAATGTTTCTGGTGATTGTTTAAGTTTTTTATAACAATACATTTAACAAGCGCGGTTGAGAGGTGCGCAGGCAGGTGACTTCATCCCACGTTAGCTTGTGAGCTAGTGAGGGGGATCACTGATTTACGAGTATGGTAGAAAAAGAGAGTGATGTACTCGGCTGTGTTTGCATTGTATATCTATATAACTTCTGTTATACATATATCTGTAAACTATCGACTGAAACTTAATTTTTTTTTTGTAACAGTGGCGGAATATATTTTCCTTATTTAATCAAACACCCATTGGCAACATTTTAAAATTAATTCTATAACTTTGCGTATTAACTACTTTTAATTTATCAAATTCAAATTAAGAATTAGCATTGATTTAGGTTTTTTTGCATGAAAGTCATTTATCATTGGATACGTGGGACGAGTTGTCGTTATATATATAGTTCAGCAGGTTTGATGAGTGACGGAGTCGCCTCTACCGTCCGCTCCGGCTGGTAGAGCACAGGAGAGGGGCGGGGGCGGGGGCGGGGGCGGGGCGGGGGCGCAGCACCCTCACGGTCGAGCGAGCAGACATCTGCTAATTAATGTAATGAATATTCGTATTGAGTTGTAGAGCTTGTAATCAGCGTTATCCGGACACGTACACGTTGTGACAGCCGCTAATGGAAAACGGAATCTCAACTTCACTACAAACAAACATGAATAAGGCTACACACAATATTTCATTAAATTTTGTTTTACACAGTTGCTCAGTGTTGAAATGTTTCTAATTCTGTACTATACATGAATCGGACAGACGAAAACATCGGTCACGGGATGCCTTTAGAGGTCCATGGACATCATGACAAGACTGCGTCCGCCCGAGAGGTTGGCGAGCGCACTCCCACTCTGATGTTGAGTTGACCACGGAGCACAGGCGCAGACCGATATTCTGACTGTGACTTTTAATTATGTAGGGTATTTACCCACGACACTCCGTTAGCGAGAGGAGCCTCGGGAGTCTGAGAACTGTGAGGATTGGTAGGTAAACATCGACTATGAGGATCACTCGAGAAAGGGCGAACAGCCTCCCCGGGGTATCACACCCGCGTACTGTGACCGACAGCTGGCAGTTACTAATGGTCAGACCTATCCTGTCTGGTGCGAAACAACCGCGCGCTCGGGATTGTGGAGCGTGGGCAGTAAGAACTAAATGAACGCAGGAAGACTTTAAAGTTCCATAATGACAAGCTCTGAGTCACCTAGCCAGGGGGAGCTATCTCTGACGCGAACACTTTACATCTTGTGTAATTCGTACAGCCATTATGGTTACATCGGCTGTTCTTGTTATACCGCAAAACGGTAAAAATGTATTGCATGTGTAATACCTTCAAAGGGACAGTAATAAGGTGATTCTTTAATAGCGAACTGTCCTTTCCGCGGAACTTCCACGAGGCGCTTGAAGGATTATAACTAAATATACACAGGGGCGGCCGCGGACACACGGCGTGCGACTGCGATCTTATNCAGCCATTATGGTTACATCGGCTGTTCTTGTTATACCGCAAAACGGTAAAAATGTATTGCATGTGTAATACCTTCAAAGGGACAGTAATAAGGTGATTCTTTAATAGCGAACTGTCCTTTCCGCGGAACTTCCACGAGGCGCTTGAAGGATTATAACTAAATATACACAGGGGCGGCCGCGGACACACGGCGTGCGACTGCGATCTTATATTTGTGAACATATTATTTTATATTAAAGGTAGAAAATCCAACGTTTTCTAAAAATAAGGGCTAAACTAAATGACCAGGAACAATTCCCTCCTTTAACCTTGTCCTTCGAAAAGACGCTTAACCTACCCCAGGTACCAGTTTAGGGAATAACTAATGATTATCGGTGTGGACACACATCATAGGGACTTTAGGCTCGAATGCTAATGTCAAAGGGCATAATAGAGATTGTGCATGGGTTTCACACATCTGAAGTTTACTCTTTCGGTACCTAATAAATATCTAGGCAATAAAATAAAATGATATAAATGTGATTGTTATTTAATATACAGCAGGCAAAGAGAGAAAACAACCGCCTCCATTATAATGGTGGAAGCCTATAGAGCCTTACATTTAATTACTGTTATTCAGTGAAATATTGTACAAGATGTACACAGTTAGCCGTTAGGAGTTAGGAGCCGTCCGTCGTATTTATACCGTGTTCAGTTGCGCAGGTTTAACAATGTGTTTAATGAATACTAACGTTAACAAAGTTAAAAAAAAACCCTTTCTATTATCATCGTGTCGCGCCGTTTTGCCAAAGTATCTTTCTGACACTACCTTAAGGTATTTATGTATCGCTTCTAACTATATATAGATCGCCGTGCAGGTCAACATTCTTCAACTACCACGGCTATCCGCAGAAATGGGATTGAATGACCTGGAGAGTTTACGTGCATAGAGGCCTCGTGGGCTAACACTAACCTTGCCTAGGTCATAACGGAACCTATGTAAAATTATTAAAAAAAAGCATTTGTAGCAACATGTTCATTACCCTGGTAATGTGTTCAGTCGCTGCCATTTATAATTATTATTGAACTTGGTAAAAAAGATGTCAAATTGATATTTCACTAAACTAGCTTCTATAATTCTAGATAGTCTATAGCTTTAAAACCTTTATCTGGTTTCTAAAATGAATTAACAATATCCGAGCTTTAGATTGAAGGACGTACGCTCACGGACATCAGCAACGTCTGGGGCACAGCCAAGCCGCTACCTTCCGCTGAGGAGTCTCCTCAACCATCGTTTGAAGAAGGACATGTCTTACCGCCGAGAGAGCACCAATGGTATCCATACCAAAAATCTAACTGAAAACCCACTGCGGGTGATCGCAGAGGCTCTACCGAGTGGACTGCGGGTCCCGTTCCCGACAGTGACGTGTTAAAGATTATGACAGGTTTGTCTCGTGTGGAATCTTCGAGTGTAGGTAGGTAGTTCGGTAGGCAGCGGCTTAGCTCTGCCCCTGGCATTGCTGAAGTCCATGGGCAACGGTATCCACTCACCATCAGTTGAGTCGTATGCTCGTCTGCCTACAAGGGCAAAAAAAAGGGTGTATGACCCCGTTACCAAAATCAAACCCGCAAAATTATAATTTGCGTAATCACTGGTGGTAGGACCACTTGTGAGTCCGCGCGGATAGGTACCACCGCCCTGCCTATTTCTGTCGTGAAGCAGTAATGCGTTTCGGTTTGAAGGGTGGGGCAGCCGTCTTTAGAGCTTGTATCTCAAGGTGGGTGACGCATTTACGTTGTAGATGCAATAAGATAAGCAATAAAATAATAAAAACAGTCGACAGAGCGGACTGCGCGGCCGCGCGGTGTCTGAGCGAGCTCTAAGCGCGACCCCCGATGCATATAAGGCAGGAGGCGGCCGAGCGCCGCTCACACCGCCGCCGTCGCTCACAGCCCGCACTTCGACAGGTATGTCACACCACACAACTCGCTCAGCAGCTTAAACTCCACTCCACCGAAAATGACAAAAATCTTAAGTATTATGTTTTAAATGATCGGAGAAGGGAATCTATACTCGTGGGTTTCTCGCGAGCTCCAGACGTGTAAACAATTAAATTAAAAAAAATAGTATTGTTTTCATATTATAAGCGGTACATGACAAATGTATTTTAATAAACACGAACTGTGGAGAGCTTTACGTATGTAGTAAGTTCATAGTCAAGCTCGCCTTGAAAATCATAATAATGTTGTATTATTATTCGATCCAAATTCAAAATGATTTATTTGAACGCGAATATCACTTACCATCAACTGAGTCTACAAGTTAATTCTCATAGTGGTTTCAAATTTGAGCACCACCGGGCCCAGTCACCCAGCCACAGTCCTGAGACATAAGATAAATAATAAGAAGATCCATATAGGAACCCTCGACGCCAGTATGCGGACAAGGAGCATGAGCTTCTCTCGAGCTGATCTCGTCATGTTATTGCTCAGCATAGTAATAGGTTGGCGAAAAAGTTTCTTCGCATTTTTTAAGAAAATTCACAACATTTTTTAATATAGTTTATTTACATTTAACTAGAGTGTGTAGGTACCATTTTTTTCGATAACTTTTTGCCATCTTGTAGGCAGGGACATGATCCCATTGCTATAGAAAATTTGGGGCTTCTGATCAAAATACCGCGACAATTGGTTTTGGCAGTCCTCTCATTATGTTAACCTGACACTGCCTAAAGAATTCTGAAGAGACCGAAACAGCTGGAAATCTGAAGGTGCAAAGTCAGGACTATACGGCGGATGCATTAACACCTCCCAGCCAAGCTCTCTTAATTTTTGCTGAGTGGCTAAAGATGTGTGAGGTCTAGCGTTATCATGATGAAAAACCACACCCCTTCTGTTGATTAACTCCGGCCGCTTTCTCTCAACTTCTTGCTTTAATCTCATCAGTTGTTCGGAGTAGATTTCAGAATCGATGGTCCTGCCTGGTGGTAACAGCTCGTAATGAATAATGCCCTTCCAATCCCACCACACACACAGCATCATCTTGTCGCGAGTTAACCCGGGTTTCGCCACAGTCTGTGAAGCCTGACCGGCCTTTGACCACAACCTTTTTCGCACGTTCTTGTCGTACGTGATCCACTTTTCATCACCAGTTATCAGCTTCTTCAATAATGGTTCGGTTTCATTACGTCGTAATAAAGAATCACAAATGAGTACACGGTTTATTAGGTTTCTTCCAGTGAGCTCGTGAGGTACCCAAATATCGAGCTTTTTTGTGTACCCAGTTTTTTTCAAATGCGCCAAAACTGTTTTGTAGTCAATTCCCAGTTCTTCAGCTACATCGTAACAACTAATATGCCGATCTTGCTCCACTTTTAAAAAAATGGCATCAATTTTATCCGTAATAGCGTAAATAGTGTAACCAGAGCGACGTGCATTTTTGACATCAAAATTTCCGGATTGAAAACGCTTAAACCAAGGTCCATGAACATCGCAAATTTCTTTCGCGGCTCGCGTTGCATTTTTACCTTTTTTGTAGTAAAATTTTAAAATGCATCGAATTTCTTCATTAGATTCACTCATCTTGACAGTACGAAAAATAAATAAAAATCACACATTTTCCTAATTTGAATTTGATTTGAAGTCTTTAAAATTTAAACTTTTAATGATATCAAAACCAGGCAGATACAAATAGTATAGCCAAAGAGATTTTATTACAAGTCCATACATACTACAATGTGAAAATACTTTTCCCCAACCTATTATGTTCTTAATTATTACAATAAGTCAGGATTTAAAAGTCTGCACTCTCTGGCAAGCAGCTACAAAAAAATTAAATACGAAAGAGAACAATTGTAATTAAATATAAAATAACTTGAATAATCTGAGTCTGAGCGTGTTCACAGGACAATATGTTCTTGTTTCAAAGAGCTGCTTCTCCAAGAGCGTAGCGGTGGGCTCCTAAAACGTCTTTGATCGCGATAGAACTGTAAGGTCTGTAAATGTGAATGAAACACAACATTGGCCTGTCAGAAGTCCTTTGTTTTTTGCGTAGACGAGTTCATGGCCCACCTGATGTTGAGTGATTTAATAAAATGAATCCAATCAAGGAGGACAGTTAAATACTCGTAACGTTGTACCGCTCAGTTGAGACCACTGTTCAATAAATATTAATTACAATCAAGGGTTACAGTTCGGTCTTCAATAACTTGTTCATTTTTATGTCTCCCCTCCTCACCCCAAACACAAAACAACAGATACTATTAGATAATAAGTTTATTCTATATTTTACTTAGTTCGACGTTGCAACATTAATGTTCCTAGCCACCTTGGGCCAGAACAGTGAAGTCTCCGCGGTGGGTACAGCGCTACCCATCAAGCGCGCGTGTGTGTGTGTGTGCTTGAGCTGGACAAACTGATGTGTGGGAGCTACGCATTCAGTCGACGTGTCTACTTGTAGGAGCTGACACTAACCAGCCTGTTGTCGACACCGACGTGGACACGAAAAATTATTTTCTCATTATTTTCCAGGGGTAGTTTTGTTTCGTGAACAAATAAAGCGCGGGTTCCGGAGGAGACTCGCCGGATACCGCCCTCCTCCGCTCCTCCGAGCTCCCACCTCCGCTCCACGTAATGTACTTATCCTTAATAGACTTGCATTTTGAAACTTTCCCTGTTTATATAGGTACCACTAGGTGATCTAATGCACTGCTAACACGCATGAGATTTCGGAGGCTCAAGTCAGCGCGAGTACCGTCCTGAGTCTCATTAAGACCTCCCTTATCATAAATCGTGTCGATTTTAATGCTTACAATCACATTACCTACAGACTGGTGGAGCCAAAACCCAGAGCTAAAGCAGGTTTAGTACTTTACCTAAAGTGCTTTTACGGGCTAGGCTGATGGGATTGAGGACGACATAATCTCATAAGTTTGTCTAAATTACACCCGGGCTCCCTTACCATGAGTGCGGGCAGTCACCCAGTGCACCCGGGTTCCAGCACGCAGCTGAGAAAAGGATCGCTTATAAATAAATCGTTATTGTGTTGTGTCGGTGGAAACAATCCGCGCCCGAGGCCTTGCCGACCCGCAGTCTTTACGCGAGCGGAGCGGGGGCGGGAGCGGTAGCGGGAGAAGCCGACAGATATCCAACTTAAAGCACCGGCTATAAAATGTATATACACATAGTCCACTGGCGCGGAGCTGATCTCGAGCGACAACTGTAGTGTATATGTAGGTACATATGTATGTATGTGTGCGGCACGGCCTGTTGTGCTCCTTGTTTTTGCGAGCTTTAGACTTCCTTGTAAGTGCTTTTCTTCTACTCGGGGCTCATGAAGCAGTAAAGTATTCAGGTTCGGAGCTTGCGAAATGAATAGAATAAACAGATGTAGTTAGTGATGAAGGGCTCGACGAGTAAATTAACCCATAGACACAACCCACTGAGTTTCTCGCCGGATCTGCTCAGTGGGTCGCGTTTCCGATCCGGTGGTAGATTCTGCGAAGCACGGCTCTTGCTAGGGCCAGTGTGACCAACAGTCCAGTTTGAGCCCCGTGAGCACACCTACAAAGTGAAGCATAAATAGCCTCTTAAGGCTATCAGCATAAGTGAGAAAAAAAAATATGACGTCGCTGGAACTACTCCGCTCGCGGTAAGACTGGGGAACGGAATGCGATGGAGATGTCATGACGCGGTCCACACTCTGTAATTACTGGGCCGCACACCGGCAGCCGTACGTGACTTTCCTGCTGCCTGTCAATGGCTCAAGATTCAAATTAAAAGGTTTCCGGTGGTCTGAAGGGAGCAAGCGAAGTGCAAGGGCCGCTCCCCTGCTGCTTCTCCTCCTGGCTCGGCTCCACCCACACATGTGAACACGGGACGTGTTGTTACAGCTGCGGCAGTGTGCGTGCGTGTACTACGATGCGAGGCGTGTTAATGTGTGCGTGCGTGACGCTGCTGGGCGTGCTCGTCCTCACCGGAGGAGAGGAGCGGACTGACAGTAAGTGCGCCTCCGTGTCCGTGCCCACGGGGGATTGTGTTTGTGATTTTATCGACATTAAGCTCCACGCACTGTTCTGATCTATCCAAACAAAGTCACATGTTGGCAGCAGCGTGGTTAAGACTCGGGCGCTCCCGTTGTCCGCGGGTGCCCGTGACGCTCACACTCGGATGGTCCGCACCCACCCATAGACGTCGCTCCCGGAGTGTTAGCTGACGCCGCTGTAAGAAGGCCTCGTGCGCGCAGTGACTGTATGTGTGTGTCCCGCAGTGTCGCCGGTTCCCTTCGTGATGGGCTCCCGGTACGGACGCTCCCCCGCGCGTCTCATCACCCCCCGGAACGACAGGTACGTCACAACCGACATGGACACTAGATACTTCCTTGTATTTGAAGCATTGTTGTGCACTGCAGTGCGTGCCGAATATTTTAACAGTACCTATTAATAATTTGTTGAACTTTTGTTTTAACGTTGTTTGATCTCGTAGTCACTTTTGAGGCAATACCGCAGCGGTAATTATGAGTAGTTGTAAAATAACGAATATGAAGGACATTGAACGGTTCATCCATAGCCTGGTGCCCGCCCTCAGACATAAGGTCGAAGCCTTTACATCAGGTTAGAGGGTGACCCTGCCTTCTTTTTTTAGGTATTGCTTAAATGGGTAGATGAGCTCACAGCCCACCTGGTGTTTGAGTGGCTACTGGAGCCCATAGACATCTACGACGTAAATGCGCCACCCACCTTGAGATATAAGTTCTAAGGTCTCAAGTATAGTTACAACGGCTGCCCCACCCTTCAATCCGAAACGCATTACTGCTTCACGGCAGAAATAGGCGAGGCGGTGGTACCTAACCGTACGGACTCACAAGAGGTCCTACCACCAGTGCAAACCGGCAGTCAAGATGGTAGCGAATCGGGCAGGATGTTATTCTCGAAAGGTGACTCAATAGGACTGACGCTGTGTAGAATAGATGTAGATGCAATGAGTATGTGTCAGGTTTTTCATGGGCAGTCGTTACGGGAAGCGCTCGGATGCTGGAAGAGAGGTCCGCGCCCTGGTCTGCGAGTACACCGGGGTGGGCCCACTCTACCGCTGCGTCAATCAGAACCGAAGGCTTTACGATAAGAGGTATGTACTCCTATATGACCGCAATTAAACTCTGCTTTTGCACTTGGATCTTGGCGATTGACGGGTCACGTTTTTCCTTCAGAAGCCGGTCTTCCGAGGACGTGGAGCGCGGGGAGCAGGGGTAAAGGCACACCAACACACACACCACCACACGCACAGACAGACGCTCGCACGCACAAGAAGCTACGTACAGAAGTATCTGAAACTGGCGGAAATCATCTAATGCTTTAACAATCATTATCGATAATGTATTTTATTGCGTATTCTAACGGACAAAATAGACTTTACCATGCCAATGAGGCTGCCGGTGCAGCATTGCAACTCACACGCTATATGAAAAATTTCCATGATGTTACAATGCGTACTGTCTTATCCTTATCCCGTAACGCTCAGCGTCGGACCATGGACCCACAGTCGAGAGCAATTGATGTACGGATTAGCAGTACGTCCTCTACACCAACACACAGTCATACATTATACAATATCTAGTCAGTACATCAGCACAACGTGATGCGGCGTGCGGTGACGGCTGGCGAGGCTGGGTCGCCGCTCGTCACCGTCACGTCTCCGTCACGTCACCGTCACGTCTCCGTCACGTCTCCGTCGTCCATACAATACCATGCAGTCGTCGCAGTAAGCTGTTACAACATCTGTGTTGTCGTGAGGAGGTTCCCGGACGGTGTTATGTTATGTTTAATTAAATGTAATCACTAAATAACAAACGATATATTTAGCGAAGGTTGTTGTAATTAATAAAATATCATTCAAGATAAAATACTTTTATTATTTTACATATTCCTACTACTCGTATAGTCGACTTCATAAAGGACGAAAAGTGTACATATAGGGATCATACTACCTTTTACTGGTGGTAGGACCTCTTGTGAGTCCGCACGGGTGGGTACCACCGCCCTGCCTATTTCTGCCGTGAAGCAGTAATGCGATTCGGTTTGAAGGGTGGGGCAGCCGTTGTAACTATACTGAGACCCTTAGAACTTATATCTCAAGATGGGTGGCGCATTTACGTTGTAGATGTCTATGGGCTCTAGTAACCACTTAACACCAGGTGGGATGTGAGCTCGTCCACCCAACTAAGAAATAATAAAAAAACAGTGGTCGGCAACCTTGTCAACTAAAGGAGCCAAATATACAATAGATAATACACAATTTCAATGTAGTCAAAGGGCTTTTTTTCTTCATATATTTTTATAGCTTTATATTTTAAAAATGTTTACTCGTCTCTTCCAAGGTAAGACAATAAGTTGGCCGCGACTGAACTAAACATTTTGCGGAAGAGCCGTCGCCGGGGAGTCACAGCCGCGGGTCGCCGACCACTGGACTAGAATAAAATGATTTAGTTTAAATAACAACATGGCGGCAGGTCACGGGCACCATATGTGACTCACACATTCCCCTTCCCCTAAAAGGGAAGATATATATAAGACCTTAATAAGGCCTGCCGTCTTGTATGGATCAGCTTGTTGGACAACAACAGTGGCGGATGAAAGGCGATTGCATGCAGCAGAGATGCGAATGTTGCGATGGATGTGTGGAGTAACGAGAATGGATAGAATACGGAATGAAAGTGGCACCTGTGACAGAGAAGCTGAGAAGTGCGCGTTTGGGATGGTATGGACATGGGATGAAACGAAATGAAAATGAGGTTGGTAAGAGAATGTTAACTATGAATGTGGAAGGATATAGAGGAAGAGGTAGACCTAAGAAGGACTGGATGGATTGCGTGAAAGACAATATGGGTAAGAGGAGAGTGAGCGAAGAAACGGTAAAAGATAGAAGAGTATGGAAGGAGAAAACATGTTGTGCCGACCCAGGTAACTGGGAGAAGGGCGGGACAATGAATGATATGAATGAACAACAGATGAACCAAATCTAGAATATAATTATAATCGTGAGAAAAATAGTCGCATCGCCTCGCTTGTAGTGGGACAGCGCGTCGCAGGCGCGATACAACTAACAGAGGATCCGTGCGATCGCCGCGACACTATTATAACTACACACGACACGTAGCAAGCACCCTCCGACAACCCTCGCGCTCGCAAACTAACTAACAGGACATATTAAACTTAGTTACCTAATATTAGCTAGTTAAGTATTTCCACAATAAAATACCCACATACATATGTCCATACACCGCTATATAACACCGTTAGGACAGAGCTACACCTGCAGATGTCAAATTCGTTGTCCCTTTTATTTTTATATCTTACATTTTGAAGAAAAATGTATTAATTTTCATGAAACAACCGTAACAAAGATATTACCTATATTATAAAGAAAATAGGTTGACAAACAGGGAATAAATGATTGTGTGAGATTTTACTGACTTTAACTTACTATCTTATCTTGGTAGAAATAAAAGGTGTGCTATTTATAATATTAGGTCCTTTACCTACGATTTTGCCGTTTAGTATGCACAAAGTTAGTCATTTTATATAAATATTAGTTATTCTTGTTAATCAACACATGCACCAGTCACATACCGCCAGCCAGTGGTAATATTTCCCTTCCTCTTGTCCTTCTTGAAGAAATGTTGTACTCCCTCTCGGGTACTGAATTTCTGTCCTGTCAAGAAGTTGCACAAGGTCTGGTGGTGGATGACACAACGCTTCCAGCTCTAGCGCCTGGTCTGCTGTGCGGTGCCGGGGCAGCAGCGGGGACGGACGATCACGGAACCCGTCGTCCATAATTACTCGTATTTGTAGGGTTATGTCCGTATTCGTGGAAATTATAAAAATGTAGTAAAAGCAAAACATTCACATCAAAAGAAAACGCAGCTTAAAAATAAATACACACATTACGTTTGAAATGTCCAGCAGGTGTCGTGAAACGGCAACTTCATAGTTCAAGAGCTGTCTATTGTTCTCCTAGCTCGCCGATACTATGTAGCCGTATCTGTCTCTAAAGTGTGAAGTTCAATTCTTGAGCCGGCCCTCTTCCAGCGGACTACTTTACTTCACGCTCATTTATTAATAAGACCAGACAAGCGGCCAGCCCACTCGACGTGAAGCGCGTCCCGTCTGGCTGTTTGTCTACTGTATACAACAGTACACAATAGACAAACAACGTTATTTGTTATCTTTTGTAAATATTGAACGAGAGCTCAGTCCGAACTGTTTGTTTGTTTGTTTGTCTGTAGGCGCTGCGAGTCGCTAAACATCTTTACACAAAACTGATGTCAATAATCGTGATATTGAAACAACGAGGGCTCGAGGGGGGGGGGGGGGGGGGGGGGGGGCTCACACCCACCGTTGGGTCAGAGCATCACGGTATCTATTGTGGCAGCACATTGTTGTGAACGAATTTCTTACCAAAAGCTCGACAATCACCACCGAGCAACCACCCTGTTCACCGGATATGGCATCCCTGCTTGTTTGCTTGCTTGTTGCTCAGTAAAAACCATAATCGAGAGCTCGCGGCGACAATTTAACTCAATTCCAGAAAAAAACGTTTAAGAAATGATTGTATTATTCATTGGCGTAAGTGTAAGTCTTTCTGAAGGAGCATACCTTATTGTATGCTGATTAAATAAATTTGGATGAATAACTAACGTTTTGTGTTTGATGTATTTAGTGATCTATTCCCAGTGATTTGTTGATAGAGTAGTAGTCCTGTGGTATGCTGTACTATGGGTACTGGAAACAAAGTAAATTATTTTGAAATATATAAAATAAAACAGAGTAACAGGAACTAGCTATCCTTAGCCAAGCCGCGGGTGAGGGTTAGTGTGCACCGCACAGAAAGGAGTGCGCGGTCGTGAGTACTCGTGAGCACGCCGGCAGACACCGTATCGGCGTCGTAGCGGTCGTCGCGGCTGCCGCGTCGACACCCGGCACAGACCGCTTGCCCACTTGCAAACACAATGCCGTTACAATTTATATATTGTAGTAATGTACTTTGAAACTCATAATAAAAAATTTTATTGCTTTGATGGGTGGACGAGCTCACGGTTCCCGTGATGTTAAGTGGTTACCGGAGCCCGTAGACATCTACAACGTAAATGCTGCCGCCCACCTTGAGACATGAGTCAAGGTCTCACATTTAACAACGGCTGCCCCCCCCTTCACACCGAAACACATTACTGCTTCACATTAGAAACAAGCAGGGCGGTGGAACCCACTCGTGCGGATTCGCAACACGCTAAAATTCGCTTTCCGTTTCCGCAGCGCACGCATCTGAAGCTCTCAAAAGGGAAAAAGCTCCGATTTTGAAACATTATTTAATGGTGCTTCGCTTGTATTTATTGGTCTTAGCGTGATGTTATATAGCCTATACCCTTGTAAAACAAACGGGCTATCTAAAACTGAAAGAGTTTTCAAATCGGACCAGTAGCTTCTGAGATTAGCGCATTCAACCAAGTAAACAAACATCGGCTTTATAATATTAGTATAGTATAGGTGTTATTCCTTCACCGTGGAAGTCAATCGGGAATATATTTGTTAAGTACGTATTTCATTGGAAAAATTGTTACCCGCCTGTGGGATTCGAACATCGCTACATATGAATACACCGGACTTCTCTTCCTTTAAGCCACGACGACTTTCCTGTGCATATATGTAGATATATGTGTATACAAGCCGTCCTGTTTTATATTCATAGTTGTAAGGGATAACATTACACGTGACTCCCCCCCCCTCCCCCCCTGTGCATCGCACCAACATTCAATTTATAAACATATTGTGCTTCGGAATAGCCCTTTGACAATTAGTGTGTCGCAGCGAGAGCGCAACCACGAGAACGTAGTTTGCTTACGTGAAAACAAGCACTTTACAACTTAACTGAGAGTTTTGTAATATATTAACTGTATTACAAGAACTTGTGGACAGTTGAGAGAATGATTTTAATAAAATTCACGATATAATTTCGCTCTCATAAATAATCAAACGAACATAATTAACGCGGGTCTACTCAGAGGAGCTGAGGTCACTGTCCAGGTGTGAGGTGTGTGTGTGAGTAGTGGATGCGTGATCCGGTGCTCACTTAACGCCAAGCGGACCGCGAGCTCGCCCGCCGCCGCATCACAGCTATCAGACCCAGTCGACCGCACCGCCGCACCGCCGCGGCGCCGAGTGGCGACACTATCACTTGCAATCTCTTATTAGTTTGGAATCACATTCACTATAAACACAATAGATAACATTTTTATTAGAAATAGGTTGCATTACACAAGCTTCAAACCCATTGTTCATTGTTGAATACATCCATTAAGTTTGAGATCCTCTGACCTCTGGGGCGCTCCATTGCAGACATTCGTAAGTCAAACTACAAAGTATTAAAACAAAACCTGCATCCCCCAACTGATCCCAGGACCAGTCCCAACGAGTGACATTAGATCTTCAGCAACCACGTGAATTGTTGTCTGTAACTGTATACCTGTGTATACGATTGCTACTTCTGTTATCTTTTAAAGATAGATTTTTATCACATCAGATCTAAATGAAACAGTCTACATTCTGCTTTGAACTGATCTGTCTGCGTACGATAGCCACACGAGGGGCCCTTCAGTAGCACCGGAGTAGTGAAGAGTCACCAACCTCAAACCAACATCAAGCCGGGATTAGGTTGAGCTGCAGATAATCTTATTTTGTGACTTATAGTCAGTTGGTGGTGCGAGCCGGCTCACTGATCTGGGCCACATTTCTGTCCCACTCCATTTGAGAAAGTCTTCGTACAGAAAACACAATTCCGCATTGTTTTTAAATGTAATCCATAATTTTTTAAATTACAATACTTTTAAGGTTTGAT